GAACCGCCGAGCGCGACGGGCGCTTTGCGGCTGGCCGCGCAGCTTTAGGGGGGGGGGGGTATGAGCAGCCTCGCGTTGGGCCTGCTGGGGCCCTTTCCCGTGTCAGGCTGTTGACAAGGCGGCCTCAAGGGCAGCCTCGGCGCCTTGGCCCGCCTTGATCCGTCCACTGCCGAGTCGCGCTGGCCTGCCCCCAGCCAAGAGCGCCGCTCGCCCCGCCGTGCCACGCCTGACATCCTACTTTCCCTCGAAAGCCACAACAACCACCCCCACCTCGACATCCTGTTGAACTTCGGCCGCAGGCGCTCCAGTATGTGAACCTTGCATTCTGCAAGCTCGGGCCGGCGGCCGCCGAGAGCCTCGGGCAGGCGCGTGGCGACGCCGCCGCCGCCACCGCCCGCCCCCGCCCTCCGCGCCCCCGAGCCGTGCGGCCTCCGACAGCAGCTGCTGCACGATTTTCGCTCGCGACCGGCCGCTCACCTTCCGCTCTGCACTTCCCTTGCATACGCCCCCCACGACCTGGCTTGATACAGCGTGACTGCACACACACACACACACACATACACACACACACACACATACACACACACATACACACATACACACAAATACACACACAACACACCCACACACGCGCGGCCCCTTCCACAGGCGCTGCTCTACGCCTGCCAGCTCCGCGTCCTCGCCGTATCCTTGTCCGAGCTCCCCCCCGCCGCCGCCCGCACGCTCGCCGCCGCCGCGCGCCGCCTGTCGCCGCCGCCGAAGCAGCCGCCGTCGCTTGAGTGCCACCTGCAGGCGGGGACGGTGCGGGTGGCGGGGGTGGAGGCTCTTGAGCTGCTGTTGGTGGAGGATGAGGCGGCGCTCATAGCAGAGGCCTGGGGTGACGTCACCGGGGGCCCGAGCTTCGAGCCCTCGCCGCCGCCCGCGGCGGCCGCCGCGGCCCCTGCTCCCCAGCAGCAGCAGCAGCCGCAGCAGCAGCAAGAGTTGCAGCAGCAGCAGCAGCAGCAGCAGCAGCAGCAGCAGCAGCCCGCGTGCGGCCCCTGCTGCGCCGACGCCGGCGACGGCGGCGACGGCGCTCCGCCCGGCCCGGCGCTGGGGCCGGGGCCGGGGCCGCGGCTGGCGCTGGTGGTCTGCCAGTCCGAGGCGGCGGCGTGCCTGGCGCGGGTGCCGGATGTTGTTGGGGACATGGACACGTTAGATCTTTCTGGGCTGGGCCTGGGGAATGCGGGGGCTTACGAGATCGCACAGGTGAGGGGGGCGGGAGGCCATGGGACCAGCGAGTGTGCGCGCGAGTGCGCGCGCGTGTGCGTGTGTGTCTGTGTGTATCTGCTGTGTACAGAATGCTGTGTACAGAACCCTGGGCCGGTTTGCATTTTGCAGCAGCTCCCAAGGGGTCCAGGGTGGTGCGTTCAGCACGCCAGCCGTAGCCCAGCAACTCGTCGCCGCCGCCACTGCGCCAGCGGGGCCCTCGCGCCTTGAACGACGCCGCAACCCTCCCGTCACGCCGCGACCGCCCTTATGGCCCCCAATCCTCCGCTCAACTTCTTGTGCCCGCCCGCCTGCCGGTGCCCGCGAAACCGGCCCGCCCCCCAAAAACAGACCCTGGCCGGCGACCCCCCCTTGCGGCGTTTGGTGCTGGCGGACAACAACATCGGCATGGAGGGCGCCGCGGCGCTGGCGGAGGCGCTGCGCAGCAACGCGGCGCTGCAGGTGCGGGCCCCGCGGGCGTGTGTTGACCAGCGGGCGCGGCTGTCGGCACATGCACCCGGCTGCCACGGCGCCTGTCGTGGGTTTGCCCCCTAGTGGGGTGCTCCCATGTCTGCCATAGAGCGCCGCTTGGCATGCGCTCAACAAGCATGCAGGATATCGTCATGTGTACGCGCGCGCGCGTGTTTGTGTGTGTATGTGTGTGTGTATGTGTGCACGCCCGTGTGTATGCACACTAAGCGCTTTGCGCCTGCTCATTATGTATATGTGATCAATCCAATGGTTTTCAATACAGGCTCCCGCACAACGCTGGGCCGCTGGGACCTCGGGGCCCCTCAGACATCCCTCACAGTCCGGGCCTCCTCCCCCTGCTCCCCCTCCGCTCCCCCCACCCCGCAGGAGCTGGACCTGAGCAGCAACGAATTCGACGACGCCGCGGCCGGCGCGCTGGCCGACGCCACGCGCGGCGCGCGGGGGCTGCGGCGTCTGGTGCTGCTCGGCAACAAGATCCCCTTCGACCTGGGCACCCTGCGGCAGCTGATGGAGGTGGGGGCCCTTTTGAGTTTGTGTGGTCTGGGACGGTGGGTTCTGGGCAGGCCGGTGGGGGGCCTGGATGGGGCAGGGTGCTTGGTGTCTGGTGCCTGGTCGCTCCACAAGCCACACGCATGCGCGGTCCGCTGCGACACACACACACACACACACACACACACACACACACACACACACACACACACACACACACACACACACGCGCGCGCGCGCGCGCATACCACTCTCTGCTCTCAACACACAACACTACACAACACTCACAACGCACAACACAACACACACACACACACACACACACCTGCAAACACACACTCTCTGCCCCCAGGCCGAGGCGTCCAGCGGCCACGTGCACCTGGTGCTGGTGGAGGACCCGCGGGAGGTGCTGGAGCGCCTGGCAGCAGCACGCGCACAGGATGGCGGCGCCGCGGGCGAGGAGGGCGGCGGCGCCGCTCAGCCGAGGGACGAGTACGCCAGGTGGGGCGCGGCTGCTGCGGCGCGGGAAACGCGGCCAGCCGTCGCGGCCGCCCTTGTGCGGACGCGCGCGGGGCTGTATTTTTTTTGGTGGCCGTCTTTGAAGGTGCCTCTGATTTTAGGGGCTCAGGACGGTGGTGGGGCCTGCAGTTGAGCACTTAGGAGCGCTGCAGCAGCAGGGTGAGGCGGTGCATAGGTGTCTGGTGGGCCGGTCCCACGGGCAGAGGGTAGGGGGGCTCTGGCCTGGGTGGTCTGCGTGATCTGTGATCCAAGATTCCAGATCTGAGGTCTGTGTCGCGCACCACCGCAGGGCGGCCGAGTTCTTCGAGCGTCAGGAGCAGCACCGGTCGGCGCGGCGCGCGCGGCGGCAGGCGCGGCAGCAGCGGGCCGCGGCCAAGGTGGCGGCGGCGGCAAAGGCCGCCGAGAGCCAGCAGGCGGCGCCGGCGGCGGCGCCGGAGCTGCCGCCCGGCGCGGCGTGGCAGGCGCCTCCGCCGGACCGTCCTCGCAGCCCATTTGCGGTTGAGGCACCGGCGCCGGCGCCGGCGTCTGAGGAGGGCGCGGCGGGGGCCGGCGGCGGCCTGGACCTCCGGGAGGGCAGCGGCAGCAGCGGCGGCTCGGGCGGCGGCGCTTCCGGCGGGTCGCCGCGGCGCGGCGCCGGGAGCCGCGCATCGTCGTCGGTTGCTGACGAGGACACCTGCGGCATCTGCTTCGACAATGACGACCACGTGGCCATCAAGTACTGGTGAGTGACGCATTACGCCGCGCGTCGCATCGCATGCTTTGACTGGTCAACAAGTCGCGACGTCGTCACAGCGCATGCTAGGGACCAGGGCCTGGGACACACCGCCTCTCGCCGGCGGTCGCGGCGCACGGGAGCCTGTGCCGAAGTCGCAGCCGTCGCTGCAGCGCCACTCGCCCGCGCGGCCCCTTGGCAGGCTGCCCCAACGCCCTGAGCACACGCCCCCCCCCC